CCGGGCTGGAAAAGACTTCCGAGATCATCCAGTCCAACCCATGACCCAACACCACCTTGTCACCCAGACCATGGCACCGAGTGGCACATCCAGTCTCTTAAACACCTCCAGGGGCGGTGACTCCACCATCTCCCCGGGCAGCCCATTCCAACGTCTGATCGCTCTCCCTCTGTAAAGAATTTCTTCCTGATGTCCAACCTAAACCTCCCGTGGTGCAGCTTAAGGCTGTGTCCTCTTGTCCTAGTGCTGGTTGCCTGAGAGAAGAGACCGAAACCCACCTACACCCTCCTGTCAGGGAGTTGTAGAGCGATGAGGTCTCCCCTGAGCCTCCTCCTCCTCTCCAGGCTGAGCCTCCCCAGCTCCCTCAGCCTCTCCTCACAGCACTTGTGCTCCGGTCCCTTCCCCAGCATTGCTGCCCTTTAGAGTTTGGCACTCCCTGGTACAGGAACAGCTGGGAAATGATCCCTTTTCCCACCTTGTCCCTTGGGAGTTCCTGCAGCAGAAGGTGGGCTCAGCCTGGGGAAGGACCATGGCTCCGGTGAGCAGTTGTTTCTTCAGAGTCTTTCAGTGATTTTAACGATATTTAAGCCGTTAACCATCTCAGTCTCTCACAAGATTTTGCTGAGGCACTGCTGTGTTTGTCAGCCCTCCAGCTCCCCCTGCGAAAGCACCCTGAGTGTTCAGGAAGGTGAGCAACACCCCCTCCGCCCCACCAGAGGGCACCACAAACAACCCAAAAACCCCACGATTTTCATCACCATTATCCAATTTTATTAATTCCAGTGGCACTAATACAGGCGGCGATGGGCACGACGGACAGTCAACGCTGCAGGTAAGGCATCCTCACCCCCCCCTCCTTCTTCCCCCCCTCTGTTTTCTCCTCGTTTTCAAGCGGCCGTTCTGCAGCGGTTCAGGTTTTTTTTGTTTCTTTTTTCGAGTCAAATAAATACAGAATTGGGCAAATCTAGTGGAGATGTTTTAGTTACAATGGCAAAGATGAGTCATGTGCAACACAGAAACCTATAAGGCTTTTTTTTTTTTCTCTCTCTCTCTCTCTCGTTTGTTTTTTATCCTCATTTGAAGTCTCGAATCGCTATTAATTAACAAGATGGTGCTCACGGGCGTCTCTACCCCCCTCGGCAATGGGTGGTAACGCTAATTAATTAATTAATTTTTTCTGCCCCCCCCGTTCTCCAAGAGTTCCATGAGTGTAATTAGAGTTTGTCCAGGAAGTTGTCGAGGGCAGGGATGCCTTCCTTCAGCCCTTTGCGCTTGCGGGTCTCGGCGACCACCTGGCAGGGTCGGCTGGTGCTTTCGAAGGGGTCCCCGGGCAGGATCTGCCAGTGGTCAAACACACACTGGGGGAAGGCCTGGCCCCCTGTGTTGGACCTCAGATCTGCTGTGAAACCTGGGAGGAAGGAGAGGAGATGTGAGGTGGGACAGGTGGGTGGTGGTTTGATGTCACCACCAGTAAAACTCATGCTCCGGGTCACCACAGGAACCCAGAGTAGCTCCTGAAAGCCTCCTGAGATGCCAAATACAGCTGCAACAAGAGGTGAGGATGGAGAGAAGGCTTCAGGGAGACCTTCTAGCACCTTCCAGGGCCTACAGGTGCTCCAAGAGAGCTGGAGAGGGACTTTGGAAAAGGGATGGAGTGACAGGAAAAGGGGGAATGGCTTCCCACTGACAGAGGGCATGGTTAGGTGGGATAGTGGGAAGAAATTCTTCCCTCTGTGGGTGATTGATGAGATACTGGCCCAGGATGCCCTGAGAAGCTGTGGCTGCTCCTGGATCCCTGGAAGTGTCCAAGGCCAGGTTGGAGCAACCTGGGCTAGTGGAAATGTCCCTGCCCATGGCAGGGGATGGGATGACCTTGAAAGGTCCCTTCCAACCCAAAATGTTCTGCAACCTTGGTCTTTGCTCCCAGGAACAAGAAGAAACTGCCTGAAGTTGCACCAGGGGAGAGTTAGAGTGGATATTAGCAATAGTTTCTTCTCCAAAAGGGTGGCCAAGCCCCTGCCCAGGGCACAGGTGGAGTCCCCATCCCTGGAGGGATTTTAAAGCTGTGTGGACATGGCACTTTGGGGACATGGGTTAGTGGTGGCCTTGGCAGTGCTGGGGGAACAACTGGACTCAATGATCTCTGATCATTCCCAAGGGTCTCCCTCTCCCTCCCAGGCTGGCTCCAGGACTGGCACACTCACCGAAGGACTCGTTGACAGGCAGGTAGGCCTTGACCACAAACATGGGGGTCCCAGCCACCTGGGTCTCCTCAAACACGTGGCCACGCTTCCTGTTCAACACTCCGTAGATGCCACCAACCACCTGCTCCGGGCACTGCAAGAGAGAAGAGCCAGGACCTCAAACTCCCTCCTCACTTTGTCTTTCTCGACCCTCAGTTCTATTTAACCCAGAAGTTTTCCACACTGGGAGATTTTCCACATGAGCAAGTGGAAATCTGGGAATCCAGGGATGTGTAAAAGGAAGGGGGAGAGGGAAGCTGCTCTGAGGAGACACAACTGTGTCCATCGACTCCGCCGGAGCCCCGACAGCAGCTCCAGGATCTCACAGGAAGCGGGGAGCTCCCTCCCTCCTCTGTGGGGTGTGTGGGGTGATGGAGGCTCCTCACCTGGATCTCCACCAGGTAGATGGGCTCCATGAGGCGGGGCTGGGCGGTGAGCACGCAGGCGTAGAGGCAGCGCCGGGCCGTGGGGATGATCTGGCCGCCGCCGCGGTGGATGGCGTCGGCGTGCAGGGTCACGTCGTGCACGTCGAAACGCACCGCCCGCATGTTCTCCTCGCACAGCACCCCCTGGCAAAGCAAAGGGAGGGCTCAACCAACAGCTCAGGGACCCCCAGACAGGAGGTTCCAGTCCTTTGGCTCTGTGGAAGCAGCTCCTAAAACAGGAAGGCCACCAAGGAGCCACTTGGCCACTCAACCTCCTCGCCGAGGGATGAACCTTCAAGCCTTCAAAAGGTTGGACTCTTGGATTTTGTTGGCATGCCCCAACCTAAGGATTGTGTGAGGGACCAGCTGGTCCCACCACTATGGCTCCTCAAATGTGCCTGAAGCCACTTTTAGCAGCACCCTCACAGATCAGATCCAAGGTTCAAGCCAGAAGAGCTGACACACATTTATGGTGCTAAAAGCCCCATTCATGGTGCTGGAACTCCAAGTATCTGCCCAAGGAAAACAGGGATTTTTGTCCCAGTAATGTGACAAGAGTTGTTGGCTTGGAATCTTCTTTGGACTGAAATGAACTTAAAGTACACAGGAAAATTAATCCCTTCTGGGTTTTTTTTGCTGTTCCCAGTCTACCTGCCAATTTATCTCAGAATCCTCTCCTGAAAAAATTATTATAGATTATTAATTATGAATTATTTAAAGTTATTATATAGGCCTCAGCAGGGATGTGGCCCTCAGAATACCTTTCCTTTCCTTCTGATGCCAGTTGTGTTATTCACCTGGACAGTTCCTGTCCCAGCTGTTACATTTTGCTGTCTGAAAAGCACAATAACCATTTTAAAACGTGAAGTCTGTGCTGCCACGCTGCATTTCCTCACAGTGGCAGGAGAAAACTTTTGAGGTTCAGCGGGCCTGAACTGCTACACCTTCACTCACCCTAAAAAGACACTAAGCTACAAATTTCTTCCCCCAAAAGTTTCTTTGCACCTGAGGACGCGCAGGAGCCCCCGATGCCCCCCAGCCCTCACCTCCTTGGTGGCCCACTGGAAGCCGGCCACCACGCTGTCCTTGATCTCGTTGAGGTACTGCACCCCCTTGGTGATGTCGGTGAGGATGTTGGGGCCGGTGCCATCGGGCCCAAAGCACCAGATTTTCCTGGCCTCGGTGACGTCCCACTCGTACTTCTCGGCCAGGTACCGCGCCCGCTGCTTCAGCTCCTGCCGGGCCGAGACCTCGCCCTTGTCGATGTCCTCGGCCAGCCCGTCGGGGAAGGGCCGGGCCTTCATGTACAGCCTGTTGTGTTTGTTGGGGGACTTGGAAAGGCACATCACGTTGGACTCCTCGCTCACCGTCTCGCGGTAGGACACGACAGGATCCGATTTCTGAGGCGGCACGGAGCAGAGAGAGGCTGTGAGACGCCTGAGGGCAGCTCAGCAACACCCACCCCGAGCTCACTGACCGCTCCCTACCTTAATGGGGATGCAGGCGTGGTCCTCCTCCAGGTCCTTCAGGCAGATCTCCAGGTGCAGCTCGCCGGCGCCAGCGATGATGTGCTCCCCAGACTCCTCAATGATGCACTGGAGAGACCACGAACAGCAGGTGAGGCTTCAAACTGCCCCACAGGCAACGCTCTCACCTCTGCTTTTTGGGTTTGACTCACAGCTACTTTTAGATGCTCCTTCCACTGATCTGGGGGTGACA